ATTCAGTGTATAAGATGCACCCAGATTTTCACCCTCTTTTCTGGGGGGGGGGGGGTTGCGGCTTATATTCCAAAAAAATACAGTAGATGTATAGTAAATCAGTTATTTATTTCATTTAAGAAAAATGCACTATGGTAGCCCCCTATCTATCTCCATACTGTACATACCTTCCTGCCTTTTAAAATTATTACTTTCTTTATATTATCACATTAATTCCAAGCCATAGGGGGGAAATTGCATTACTGTATAACCACAGCATTAGTTCATCTGAAAATCCATATTAAAAATGACCTACCATTGCAGACATTGCCATCGTTGTCTTCACACTGTCTATCATCACACTCGCAAAGTTTGCCATATATTTTGGACTCTCCGGGAGGAAAACATGTACACCGGCCACATTCACATTTCCCTGTGAGAACATCATCTCTCATTAGTCAAATCCAGCAGCCAAGGTCAACTTGTTCTTGTCTATGACTCAACTTAGCAATCTAGCAAAGAAATATACACATCAGCCTGAAAGAGGAAGGCAGTATTGTTTGTAAAGGAGACATTTTTAAAAGATAGTTGTGTAAAGGCTGTTTTGTGTTATGGGAACACAGCATTCTCTTAAGCACATCAGGCTATTTATTCCTTGAGTTGAGTCTAGCTGGCAACGGCTTGCTCATTTAGGATAGAGGTTCATCTCATCCCCTCCTGCTTTCTTACCTGGAGATGCTAAAGAGTAGACTTGGAATTTTGTGCATATATTATTCTCGCTACGTTATGATATGTATAATTAAATATTGTGGTTTTTAAAATCATATTTCCTTGGAGGTTTCCCCAACAGAAATAATTCCGGTTTCATATCTATTTGCTGTTTAGTAATTATGCACAAAATTGGAAGAATAATAATATACCATCAGAGGGGAATGTTATAATGAAAGTGTTAGAGTGTGCAGAGATGGACAAACTTACAAAAGACATAAAAGAAAAGGAGGAAACAGAATATTATATGGTATGGAACGAGTAGTACAAATGGCTAGAGAACAGGTGTTAACCTTAAGGAAAGACTAAATGAAGAAGACACAGGAGTTAGAAATTAGCAATTTATAGATAGAGATGAACAAACATGTATAAATGGAAACAGAACATAATGAAGGATTGTAAATTAAGGAATGTATATAATAATATCATATGTATATAGACAAAGAGAAACTGAAATAAGGGGGAGGGGGTTGATGTGTATTTACAATGGATGTATACCAAGGTGGAAATGTTGTACAGAAGAAAATTGCAAAAAAAAAAAAAATGATTTGTCTTTTAATAAAAAATATTTTTTTAAAAAAAG